TGGGTGTGTGTGGTGTGTGTGGGTGCGTGTGGGGGTGGGGATGCGGGTGGGAGGGTGAGTCTGAAAACCTTGAGAAAGGCTTGCAGGTGGTTCTGGCGTCCATGGCGCTCACTGGAGACCCTGCTTGCCCACACTCGGGAGGGCCCGTCCCAGGACTTCCTGCTGCAGGGCCTGCCCCTGCTCTCAGCTGTGGGAGAATTGTCTCCGTGTTTAGCTTTTCTTATCATTTTGTCTGGACCTGCTCAGCCTCCTCGGTGTAGGTACCAGAGCGTTTGCTCGGATTCGCTGTGTCCTCTCAGACCCGCTCCGCTTTGCCAACGTCTGTTACCTTAAACCAGGGTCGGACCTTGTTCCTCCGAGAGCCATTTGGATGTTTATAACTTCGTCCGCGGGCCACACACAATTATCCACGTAAAATTAGCCTGCTCACTGCGGTCAGACATTTCACTAACTCACCTCACGCCTTGGCAGGGCCAGACCAAGTGATTTCAAGGGCCTCACCCGGCGCGAGGGCCGGACGTTCCCCACCCCTGTTAAAGTCCAAAGGCTCGGCTTTCCTTCTCCTAACGGGGTCCCTGAGCCGGGCGGAGGCGCGGATGCGAGTTCCTGGATGAAAGCGTGTGCGAGGGGCTCCGAGCACGCAGGGTCGGCAGGAAGGACAGCCTGAGCCATTGGCCCTTGAGAAGTAGCATCACCTCCTTCCTGGGTCCCATGGAAGCCCATGAGGGACCTACGTAGTCACGGGTGGGCACCCACGCATGTGCTTGGACACCAGTGGCGTGCTCAGACACACACACGTGCTTGGGACACCAGTGGCGTGCTCAGACACACACACGTGCTTGGACACCAGTGGCGTGCTCAGACACAAGCCCGTGAGGGGCCTACGTAGTCACGGGTGGGCACCCACGCATGTGCTTGGACACCAGTGGCGTGCTCAGACACACACACGTGCTTGGACACCAGTGGCGTGCTCAGACACACACACGTGCTTGGACACCAGTGGCGTGCTCAGACACATACACGTGCTCGGACATGCAGTGGCGTGCTCAGACACACACACGTGCTCGGACACCAGTGGCGTGCTCAGACACACACGCACGTGCTCGGACACCAGTGGCGTGCTCAGACACACACACGTGCTCGGACACCAGTGGCCTGCTCAGACACACACACGTGCTTGGACACCAGTGGCGTGCTCAGACACACACACACGTGCTCGGACACCAGTGGCGTGCTCAGACACACACATGTGCTTGGACACGCAGTGGCGTGCTCAGTCGGACACGCACATGCTCGGACACGCAGCGGCATGCTAGCTACTGGGTGGGTGGTTTGGCCGTGATGCTTTGCAGAAGCCAAGACAAGGATCCAGGCTTGAGGGCGTCCTCTGAGTGGAAGCCCTTTGGTTAAACATGGCGGCATTGCAAGGGAGGGAACAGTGACTTCATGTAGATTTTAAGGAATTTTGAGAAAAATTCCTACATTGAAGGGAAATGAACCTGTCCCTCACGCTGGCATGACTGGTGGGAGCGAGGATTTACAGGGGTTTCCCTCCCCGCCTGCACTCCCTACTCGATGGAGCTTTGCACAGTTTGCGGGTACAGTTCCCTGGTCATTCATCACCGCGATTGCCTGCAGGTGGGGGTAGCCATGAAGAACGGCCGTGCTGCTCCCTGGAATGAAAGCAAGGTGCAGAGCTAGAGGGAGTTGAGTTTAGACACAGAAGTCAGGTGGACCGAGGTTCCTAGCTTAGGCGATACCATCCGGGCTTTGAACAAACCACTAAGTCTCCAATACAGAGCTGCAGAATGGGTGTAAACATAAATGTACTCGAAAGGGGTGTTGGGAAAAGTAAGTAAAATCAAACCCTCCTTCCCTCTTTCCTTCCTCCCTCCCTTTCTCTCTCTCTCTCCCCAGGGGTGAGGACGATTTCCTCACATTCACTCATTGGTCAGAATGGAGAGTCTGTTGTGGAAGGACAGCTGTGTTTGTCCCTCTGGCCCACCCTCTGCCTTTGTGCCAATGTAACTGCAATGTTGTCAACATTGTCCACGTTCTCTCATTCTTTCTGTTGGACAACATACCAAAGACAGCAGCTCACCGTGCTGCTCACGCGCTGGCGGGACCTTTCATGAAATGCCTCAGCCACCCTCCTCTTCATCCCCTTGGCTGGGCACGTAGGCTGCGTGCAGATCGTCTCTTCTCCGAATAAACGTGCAGCGAGCACACGCATGCGTGCGTCCCAGGGTCCCGAGGGGGACATTCCAGAGGGTGGGTGCTGCTGGAGTTCTCTGCGGCCTGGTCGGCGCTCTCCCACCGCCAGGTTCTCACTGGGCTGACTCACCCTCTTTCCCTGTCGTGACCTGGTGCCCCCCTGTTCTTACAGGCGGCCCCCGTGCCTCTCTCCTCTCCTGTCCCCGAGTCCCAGCGGACACGTTCTCTGGCCTCTTTCTTTGCAGAGAAAACAGCAATTGTGCTCACCGTCCCCTGGGCCCAGAGGGGCTGTTTACACTTAAACTAGAACTTTGGGGAATATTGATTTTTTCTTTTTCAAAGGAGAGATTCTCCGTGTGAGCTTTCAGCATCTGCTCAGCCAGCCTGAGAGCTTTGGTCATCCGAGTCTTAGCAGCGCTTAGATCATTCATGCAGACCTGCCGGGCCATGGGTCCCCGTGGCTCCCCTCGCCCCACCTCCCTGAGTCCCCTGCCCCCCATTGAGTACCCCTTCCCGTCTCAGACTCACCGGATTCTGCTTCCTCTGAGAAGCACACTTCTCCTCCTCTCCTGGCACCTGCTCAAAGAGTCCCATTTGCTACGTCTTTGGAAAATACAGAACTCACAGCCGAGCGTGGCTGCAAATGACCGTGGGGGCTCTAGGCCATTAATAAAAAGGGACCGGAACGGGCTGCACAGCAAAATAAGATTTCCGGTCACGGAGCTGTTCCGGCCATCTCTGCGCGGGTCCGGAAAGTGCGCCAGGCCTTCCGGAAACTCCCGGTGGCGGTAAGGCCTCCGCACGTGAGTGGTCTCGGTGCCCACGCTGTGCCCGCGTTGCCTTGTGAGTGCCGGCCCGCGCCCGCGCCGGTAACCAGAAGCAAGTAGTTGAATGACCCGAGTGGGTGTGGGCAGCTTTTGCTACTTGACGGGGAAGCCGATGCCTTTTGCTCTGGAAGATGAATCTGAACGCATTTGGTGGCGATTTTATCGTGTTTATTCTCCAGTTCGTTGGGATTGTGCTGGTTGCTGTATTTTGATTTCAATTTCAGAGTCATACCTGAGTCTTTCGTTTTGGATGCTTAAAGGGGAAACACGGACAAGATTAGGCTATTATTTCATTAAAGCACAGACCCGAAGCGGTTGGAGAGATCATGGAAACCCTTACCCTGGACTCCAAGAGTTCTAATCCCGTTAAATTCTGTTCTTAAAAGCCCTCCAGTCCACAGGTGCCCAAACTCCCAGCATCTTCTTTAACCAAATCGAATGGGACTCGCTGTGGGGCGTGTTCCCGGCGTGGGCCGTCACTGCAGGCAGCCGGGAGCCCCTCCGCGATCCGGTCACGCACCTGCCTGAGGTGCTGCCCGGTGAGCAGCTGGCAGCCCAGGGCCCGGCCAGGCCGCCCGGGTTTGGGGCCTCAGAGCCTCTGGCCTCCGGAGTATTTCACAGAAGCTTCAAGGCCAGCAAGCCGCCTGCTCATTGGACACGGAAGGACGTGGAGATGTTAGAGTGTGGGATGTGGAGCGCCAAAGACGAATTAAGTGTGTAATTAAGTTTACGAGCGGTTAAGCAAGGACTGCAGGACACATGAAAACATTAGTGTGTCTGAGCGGAGTGACAGACTGTGGGAATCGATGCTCCGTGGGTGTCACCACGCGAGCCCGCACCCAGGTTGGTGGCGAGCAGCTGCCCTCTGCCCAGCCACGCCCGTTGCTTCTCTCGGGCCACGTTTTCCACGCAGACACGGCTCAGTGGTTCCTCCTGCCCACCCCTCCTGTCCCTGCCACGGCCAGGGGCGTGGTCCTGCCCTCTCCCGGGAGGGGCTTGGTCCCGCCTGCAGGGGCAGAAGTCGGGACTCCGATTCCTGGACTCCTGGACGCTCCCTGCTGCCAGGGGGGCCGTGAGACCTCGGTCCCGTGTCCGGTAGCTCATGAGCATTTTGAAGACGCGGAGGAAGCAGAGCGCGCTGGGCAGCGTCAGTGCCGCCGTCGCTCAGGTTCACCTGCCGCAGACGCCTAGCATGTTCCCAGATCAGCTGCCCCGGCTCTGGGCAACCTCAAGGCGCCGCATCCGCTGGGCAAGTATTAGGCAAACCTTCCCTGCCCGGCCCAGTTGCCCAACTTGCTCGCACATATCCCAGGCGGTGGCTGCAAAGGGCAGGCCTGGCTGCATCCATTTATAAGTGCACGTAGGCCTTTCGCACACTTCACACACTTACAGCCAGACGACAGCCTTCACCCAAAACACGGACCTGCTTCTAAACCACATGGAACGGCTTTGGACTATCCCTGGCGGAGACCCTGCGCCCAGGACCGCTTACGTTGGAGCCGGTAACCCCAGGTTAGCCGAGGGACTGAGCAAGGCTTCCTTTCCACGTAAATTTAATTAACAACGATGTCCGTACCCCTGCGAGCAGCCCCGCTCCTCCACGTTCAATGTGACAGCACCTTCCAAAAGCCCTGCCTCACGTGGCCTCTTCCGCTCCATGTTCTCGGACGGCAGCGGGCTCGGACGCACAGGGTGCTCTGTGCAGTAGTTTCAGTCAGATGACCTGTGGATATTCTTATTTATTTCAGAGAGAGGAAGGGAGAGGGAGAGGGAGAGAGAAACATCCATGATGAGAGAGAATCATGGATCGGCTGCCTCATGCACGTCCCCTGCTGGGGATCGAGCCCACAACCTGGGCATGTGCCCTGACCGGGAATCGAACTGTGACCTCCTGGTTCATAGGTTGAAGCTCAACCACTATGACACACTAGCCAGGCCCCTGTGGGTATTTTTTTTAATTTTTAAAAATTGATTTCAGAGCAGAAGGGAGAGGGGGAGAGAGAGAGAGAGAGAAACATCAATTATGAGAGAGAATCATGGATCAACTGTCTCCTGCACGCCCCACACTGGGGATCAAGCCAGCAATCCTGGCATGTGCCCCGATGGGAATTGAACTAGGACCTCCTGGCTCCTAGGTGGACGCTCAACCCCTGAGCCACGCCAGCCGGGCCGCTGTGGGTATTTTCGTATGATATTGACTATTCAGAAAGAAAGGAAAATGCTTGGACTGACTTCATTATCACACAAGGGAGCTCCCGCCCCCTTTCCAGCAATAAATAAACTCGCTAATTTCCTCAGCCCGTGGGGAAGCTGCTGCAGATGACCCAGCAGCAGGCAGGTCCGGGGATAATCCACGCGACGTACGCAGCCAGCTCTGCTCTGCCAGCACGCACTCTCTCCCCTTCCGTCGGGCAGCTTCACTTCGTTCCCATTACAGCCGTCCCCAGGAGCCTGTCTCCAGCGAGTGGCTTCTAGCACCTTCTGAAAAACTCCCCGAGGACCCTGGCATCAGACGAGCAGAGAAAACATGCCATGCCAGTGAGAAGACTCCCAGTTCAGTGCGGTCTGATGAGCTAGGACGAGTTGTCTGGAATGCTCACGTGCTTTGCCTGCGTGAGGGTCACGCGTGTTTTTCTGCGCTCCCGCTGCCTTCCGTGTTGGGTGCTCGGGCCGCACGGGTGGGATTGACTCGGGCGTTTTCATGACGTGGGGTCTCATTTTGTGTCTCACTGATTTCTCCTGAAGCATCAGCCTCCCCGGGCACCGGCGTTCCCAGCAGGGCCTGGCTCGGGAGGGGGGTTGTGGGAAACGCCAGCCCCGCTGGGAGCAGCCACCTCCCGCACGGGAGCCGCAAGACCCGCCCTCTGCAGAACGCGCCCCTGTGCAGAGCAGAGGGGTCTCGGGTCATCCAGAAGCTGCTACTTACAATAAAAGCCATCGCCGTGAGGCTGCAGGTGGAAACGAAAAGCAGGCCACCCTTTCTCCTTCGATAAATCCCTCGTTCCTGTGTTGCTCCTGTCCCTGCTCTGCTGAGGCTAAACAGAACCAAAGGGGGGGCTTGTCGGGGGGGCTTGTCGGGGGAGGAGATCAAGGGGGATTGTGGGGATTCGCCGAGGCCCGAGCTCTCACGAGGTTGCCGAGCGCTTAAGGTCGAGCGGGAACCAGTGCTTCTCTGTGGGCCTGTGGGCAGCTCCGTTTCATGTGCAGTGGGTGGGACTGGGGCTCGGCCGCGCGGCCGTCTGGGTCAGGCAGGCCTGGGCCCGCGTCCAGGCTCCCCCTGGGTCTGCCCAGACCCCCTGCCCTTTGCTCCATGGGGAGCCACAGGCAACGGCCACTGCATCTGGCATGCACAGAGTCCCCAGGGCAGCAGACAGGCCTGCAGGACCTGTGACAAGCACTCAGACACATGTGTTCACGCGTGGCTTGCATGGCCAAGAGAGCAGGCGTGTCTTAGCAGCCTGCCAGCCAAACCCTCTGCTGACAGAGTGAGCCCCCCTGGCTGCATGCAGCACCCACTCTATCCAGGAATTTACGTGCACATACATCACATGCACATCCCCTCAGCGTCACCCACGCCAGGTGCTGTCCTAGGTGCTGGGGACACAGCCGTGACCAAGAGAGAAGGAACGTCTTCGTCTCCCGCAGCTTAAACTCTATGGGATCCTGATAATAAGGGGGAGGCTGGGGTGGTTGCCTGGAGACACAGTGTCTGAGCAGATATGTTCACGGGACCCAGCGACCCTTACATACATGCAGTCCATGGTGTGCTTGCCTCCTGCACCTGAACTTGGCCATGTTTCCTCAGGCCCTCCTGCCCCTCATGCCTGCCTGGCCAAGGTCGATGGCTGACCTCAGGACCCCCTACACGTGGTGGTCACCTGGCCGGAATCCCAGTCCTCAGGGGGCTCTGAATTCTGTCAGGGAGAGGGCTGGGCAGCCAGGATGGGGACACGTGTGTCATTGTCAAGGTTGTATTTCCAGTTCGATCAGCTACGGGGGCGGGGTGGGGGGGGTCATGGAGCCCTGAAAACATTTACAGACTTGCACCTCACAGATCCCGGTTTTCCCCAAAGCGCGGGTCCGAGGGCCAGGCAGGTGTTGTGACCATTCCTCGCACCGTGATCTCTGCACACCCCACCCCAGGCTTTGGGAGGCGTGTGGGTGTGTCTCTGGAGACAGTGCCTCTCTTTGTCTTACAACGTTCTTTCAACCAGAGGCAGGAGTTCCCCGGGGCTCCATCGGGGCCCTGATGTGTTCAGATTCCTGGGGAGCAAACGCCATCTGTCCTTCTCCATCCGTCCTTCTCTGGGAGCCACGGAGCTCTTTTAGATGTTTCTTATTCCTCACAATGAAGTTCGAGGCGTGGTCTCACGTCCTCATGTCACACCGTAAATTTTCCCTCCAGTTTCCCTTCTTCCTCTGGCTCCTGTTCCTGCTCTCAGGATCCGCACGTTTAGACCCCATCAACCGGGGAAGGAAACGGAGGGGTCCCCGGTGACAGGGGGCCGTAAGCCATCTCCGGGGGGTGGGGGGGACAGTGACTCCTAAGTGAAATCCGGCTTCGAGGCGTGGGGGGCTCTCTGAGGGTGATCCCTCACTGATGAGCAGATGCCCACGTGGTGGATGCACGTGCTGTTGGCGGCCGTCACAGGATGAGACGCCCGCCACGCTGCTCGCTGACGCGCTCTCTGTGTAATTACAGTTCGAAAACGAGATCATCACCAAGCTGGACCACGAGGTGGAAGGCGGCCGCGGGGACGAGCAGTACAAAGTGCTCTTCGATAAGATGTGAGTGCCGCTCCGCGGCGGGGCGGGGGGCGGTGGGGCACTGCGGGCGGAGACGGGGGAGGCGGCGAGCCCACAGTGAGCTGTGCAGCCCAGCAGTGATGCCCGGGGTCCGTGATGGGAAGTCCTGCCCCCTGCACGGCACCCCCGCGCGTGAACACGTGCGGCTCCCCGCAGCCTCCTGGAGCACTGCCGGAAGCACAAGTACCTGGCCAAGACGGGCGAGACGTTCGTGCGGCTGGTGGTGCGCCTGATGGAGCGGCTGCTGGACTACAGGACCATCATGCATGACGAGAGCAAGGAGAACCGCATGAGCTGCACCGTCAACGTGCTGGTGAGCGAGCTCCCCCACCCCCGGGTTCCCCAGGTCCTGGTGACCTCTGGCCGCCGGCTTCCCGGGCAGACAAGCCTGCGCTGCCGTCTCCGGGCCTGTGTATCCACTGTGGTTCCCAGCAGGGAAAATGCACGTTTGGGGTTGAGTGGCCTTTCCTCTGTCGCCTAATAACCCCGTAATCTGCACCTCCTGGTCGGGAACTCTGTTGTGTGGCCTCGCTCCTCTGTGCCGTCTCGCCACGCAGGCCCGTCTGAGAGCGGCCGACTCATGGTTATTTTACAGACTCGGTTCCTCTCCTCGAGGCCCCTCCACGGTGGTGCCGACTGGAATTCTAAAACTCTGAGCACCTGCCTCAGTCGTGAAGTAGAGGATTGAATAGGATGCAAAGTATAGGAACTGTGACCATTAGGATTGTCCCTCCTCGACCCCGATCCCCCATAAAAGGGGAAGGCGCATGCACGTCAGTTTTGCATCACGTGTGACCCTGTGGCCTTAGTGCAGAGCGCTGGGCCCATGGGCTGTGCTGGACACACGTTGAGGAACCGTGAAATTTCACTGTGCATGTCACACCCTTTCTAGAACAGGTTTCTTAAAGGTGTTGTGCTTCGATTTTTCAGAATTTCTACAAAGAAATTGAAAGAGAAGAAATGTATATCAGGTATGTAGGTGCCGTGTGTGTCGCGCCCTCTATGTGTCTGTTACAATTGCAAGGGTCACGCCCACGCCAGGAAATGTTGAAGAACCACAGGTTCATCGTGTGGGAGTCGTGCAGCCTAGAGATTGGATTTGGGGAGCACCCACATGTGTTCGGGGCCTGTGTGCCGTCGTCCAGGCCTGTGCGGAGATTGGGGGGCGGGGGGGGGCATCATACTTAGCCAGCTCAGGAGCAAAGACATAGATGATTATTTCACTGGGGTTTGTACTTCTTGACCACAGATCAAATGAAAAGGCCAGTTTTTACCGTGAGCTGCCACGCATCCAAAACGGAAACCACAGCCACGATATCTTGAATTTAATTTAAAAAAATCGATTTGCAATGAATAGTCTAAAAATAAATACATAACTCACCATTCGGGCGTCCTTGAATAGTTTCAGCTGAAAATTCTCACAAAAAATTATTTTAAAGTTGGTCAGGGCTGCCACTTAGGGAAACATTTTTTTTTTATAGACGCGCGTGGCGTGCGGGGAAGGTCCGCCGCTTACACCTACAGACGCTGACGGCGCACAGTGGGTTAACTTTAATGGAAATAGGAGATATGAAAGGTTTCAGTCCGTTCTTACTCTGACCCCATCGCCGCGTGTTTTGTACTTTCTGCTGGGTTTTTCCCATTGCCCGCCTCCTTGTAGGGGCCAGCGTCACACCCTCAGCAAGACCCCCACTAGGGACGCACTCCACGGGCGCTGGTGTTTAACGATGTGTTTATTACACCTCCATGGTCTTCCGACTTTGGATTTTTATGATTTTGATTTTATTTTATTTTTTTACTTTTCTCCTTTTTAAAAAAAAAAGTGCCACATGACTATAATAATACACTTTTGGGAAAACAACCAAGTTCCTTTTTTCCAAAACTGTCGGTTGCTTCACGTTGATTTCTGTGTGGCAGGACCTTCTTTGGGTCATAGTCACCGTGACCCTCCGAGTCCTTTTTCTTACCAATTTGTGTTTTTATGGGTTTGGGGGGCCTATGGATTCCATAGTCACGTAAGAAAATCACAGCCAAGCGCTGTGTCGTCTCGTTTCACACGTACGGAGACAACTCAGAAAGGTGGACGGAATGAGAAACCTGGAAGCACCTGGAGTACCATCTGCCTCCCTGTCCCGTCTCCAGTTCTGTCCCGAGAAGAGATGACGTGGATTTGAAACATTAACAGTTGCCTGTGACCCTGTGGGGGTTAGTGCTCCCTGCAGCAAATGTGCGCTCGGCGTGGGGGACGGAGAGCGCTGTGTAAAGAAAGCACAGCTCGATTTATTGCTGGAGGAAGACTGTCGCTCTCGCCGTCGTCGACACAAATCATCCGGTGACATTGTAAGAACGCGCCCGTGTTTTCTCGCCTCAGGTACCTGTACAAACTGTGCGACCTGCACAAGGAGTGTGACAACTACACGGAGGCGGCGTACACCCTGCTGCTCCACGCGAAGCTGCTGAAGGTAAGGAAACCACCGGCGCCGCGGCCCTGTCGCCACAGGTGCTCGCGTTGCGTCCAGCTGCTGCTCAGGGCCGTGTCAGTAAACCACACGGTAAGATTCTTTCTATGGTGCTGGCTACATGCAGCGGCAGCAACCGAGACATTCAGGAAATGCCTGGGTGGTAGGTTTGGCCCTAGTGGATGCAGATTTGACAGGGTGTCACAGCAAGTTGTCACTCAGCGTCGTAAACACGTAAACGCCCATCACTGGCTGTCAGCTGGCAGGTAGAGACCCTGCAGGGCCTCGTTCACGCCAACCAGGTGCAGCTACGGTGGGGAAGGGCGTCCGCGAGGAGGAATGTCGGGGCTGGAGGAGCCACAGGAGGGGCGAGACACACCCTTACCTACCCCGGCAGAGTCCCAGGCCCGGGTCAGGGGATCCCACACCACCTCCAGGTTCACATTTTAGAATATGAGCAAGTCATCAGAGCATCTTTCTAGCTGTAGCCTCACTTTTTTAAACATAGAAGAGCATCCCAGTCCATCCCAGGTGTGACCAGGCTCATAGCTCATCCCAGTCTATCCCAGGTGTGACAGGGCTCAGAGTCCATCCCAGTCCATCCCAGGTGTGACCGGGCTCATAGTCCATCCCTGTTCATCCCAGGTGTGACCAGGCTCATAGTCCATCCCAGTCCATCCCAGGTGTGACCAGGCTCAGAGTCCATCCCAGTCCATCCCAGGTGTGACAGGCTCAGAGTCCATCCCAGTCCATCCCAGGTGTGACAGGGCTCAGAGTCCATCCCTGTTCTTTCCAGGTGTGATAGGGCACCGTCAGCTACCAGGTCTGTGTTTCCAGACCTGCCAGTTTCTCTCCTATTGGACTCCAGCCCACTCTGCCTCCCTTGCCTCCTCAGGGCCTCTGCACAGGGCGCTGCTCATTTCCAGGCCCGGCAGCCTGGTGACGGCATTGCTGCCACGTGAGGGCCCTGAATGCCGAGCTCCCTGCGCTTTCTGCCCGAGGGTGGGCAGCGGGGCCTGGCCACGCCCTGTCCCGGTGGCAGGACTCACGCACTGCTTCCTCCTCAGTGGTCGGAGGACGTGTGCGTGGCCCACCTCACCCAGCGGGACGGGTACCAGGCGACGACGCAGGGGCAGCTGAAGGAGCAGCTGTACCAGGAGATCATCCACTACTTCGACAAGGGCAAGGTGAGGCCGTGCGTGCACCTGCCGTGCACCTGTTTGCATGCACCTGCCCGTGCCACGTGCACACGCTCTGAGCTGCGTGCTTGTGGACCCGGCATTTGTTACAAGTTGTGGGTTGGAGGGTTTTGTTGCAGAGGCCGTAGGTTAGCCCAGTGGTCGGCAAACTCATTAGTCAACAAGGCCAAATATCAACAGTACAACGTTTGAAATTTCTTTTGAGAGCCAAATTTTTTAAACTTAAACTCTATAGGTAGGTACATTGTTATGAACTTAATTAGGGTACTCCTAAGCTGGCCTTTGCTAAACATGTCCTCATTTTATAATAATAAAGCCACCAACACAAAATAATTACAATTCTTAAATGGATGACAAAAATACCTGTAGGATTTACAGCTGGTTGGAAAAATACAGGTAAGTTTATGCTTCGAGTAGGTATTTTTGTCACCCTAGCACTAACCACTGCACATGAGACTGCTGACTGACTGGCTCTCTCAACTCGGCATGAATCGCGCACCTCCCCCGCGCTGCGTATCCCGTCGACCAACCGACCGACACCCCCCACTTCTTCTAACGCCACTTCTTCAAAATAGACTCGCCCAGGCCGAAAACCGACTTCTGTGCACGGGCCACGAAATTTCAATCGCATTGTACATGCGCACCCGCACATGGTATTTTGTGGGAGAGCCACACTCAAGGGGCCAAAGAGCCGCATGTGGCTCGCGAGCCGTGGTTTGCTGACCACTGGGTTAGACAAACACAGATTCTTGCAAGAACGGTCCGGCTTTTCCTGCCCTGACTCCTGCGTGCCTGTTAGAAATAGCCGTCTTCGTTCAGAGTGATCGCAGGAGTCCCCGGTGTGAGCCGGGACCGGCACGCAGGGAGGGCCTTCCCGCGCCGGGACAGATGCAGAGGGAACTGCAGACACGGCTCCATCCGGCCTG